CAATGACTGCGCCCGCATGCGTCCCCGCACTATTTCGGCACACATTCAACACGCTTCGTGGCCCCATAAAGAGATCCACCGACAGCGATGCCCACAACGGCGATACACGAAAGAGCGTGTTCTACCGCTGCTGGCGGAAAACCGGGGGGGGTCTCTGGGGGTTCCTCACCCGTCCCCCCCCTTCGAAAATTAGGGAGGGGTCACTACCGGTTCGAACACCCCCCCCAGTCCATCATGAAAAGGGGGGGGGGTCACTACCGCTTCGAACCCCCCCCCTCGAAAACCGCGGGGGGGTCACTACCGGTTCGAACCCCCCCCCTCCCCCTCGAAAACCAGGGGGGGGGTCACCACCGGTTCGAACTCCCCCCCTTCGCCGCCGGCAAGCGATGCGCGCTCCTCGAGACAGTTGGAAAATGGTGGGAATGTTGGGACAGTGGTGGGAACGGTGGTGGTGGGGACAGTGGTGCGGGGACAATGGGACAGTGGTGCGGACAGTGGTGGGGACGGTGGTGGTGGGGACAGTGGTGAGGGGACAGCGGGACTGTGGTGGGGACAGTGGGACAGTTGTGGGGACGGTAGTGGGTGGGGACAGTGGTAAAGGCGGTGAAGACAGTGGTGGGACAGTAGCACAGTGGGGAGAGTGGTGGGGACAGTGGGGACAGTGGGACAGTGATGGGGACAGTGGGGACGGTGGGACAGCTCAGTGGGACAGCGGCGGGGACAGTGGGACAGTGGCGGGAACAGTGGGGACAGTGGGACAGTGGTGGGGACCGTGGGAGAAGTGGGGAGAGTGGGACCGTGGTGGGACAATGGTGGGGAGAGTGGGGACAGTGAGACACTGGTGGGGGTCACTGGTGGGGACAGCGGGGACAATGGTGGGAACAGTGGGGATAGTGGGACAGTGGTGGGCACAGTGGTGGTGGGGACAGTGGTGTGGGGACAGTGGGAATGTGGTGGAAACAGTGGGACAGTGGAGGGTACAGTGGTGGTGGCGACAGTGGTGAGGGCGGTAGCGAGGACGGCGGTCGGATAATGGGACAGACAGAGGTACAATAGGGACAGTGGAGGGGACAGTGGTGGGAACAGTGGGACAGCTCAGTGGGACAGCGGCGGGGACAGTGGGACGGTGGGACAGTGGGGACAGTGGGGACAGTGGGACAGTGGTTGGGGCCGTGGAGAAAGGGGAGAGTGGAACCGTGGTGGGAACAGTGGCGGGGACAGTGCGGACAATGCGACTGTGGTGGGGGCACTGGTGAGGACAGTGGTGACGGTGGTGGGAACAGTGGGGACAGTGCTGGTGAGGACAGTGGTGCTGGGGACAGCAGTGGGGGATGTGGTGCGGACGGTGGTAGGGACCCAGAGTTGTGTGCTGGCGGTGAGCGTTGGGGGGGGGAGGGGAACGAACCGGTAGTGACCCCCCCCAGTTTTCGAGGGGGGGGGTTCGAAACCGGTAGTGACCCCGCCGGTTTTCGAGGGGGGGTTAACTCGAGGGGGGGGGGGGTTCGAACCGGTAGTGACCCCTCCCCCTCCCAACGGTTTTCTGGAGGGGGGGAGGGGGTTCGAACCAGTAGTGACCCCTCCCGGTTTTCCGGAGGGGGGGGGGCGGGGAGGTTTAGGGGGGGCGGGGGGGGGGGGCCAGGGGGAAAGGGGGGGGGTGGGGGGGGAGGGGTCCAGCAGGGGGAGGGGGATTTTCGGAGGGGGGGGGGGGGGGGGCCCGGGTTCCGGAGGAAGAGGGGGGAGAATTTTCCACAGTAAAGCGGCGGTGGATCACGCTCTCTCCGATACTCACAATTGCATATGGTTGGGCCCTTCGCCAGGATAAGTTTGCGCAGTTGTACAAAATATCTGGTCCAGGTACAGAACTGGGTTGTCGTACGACGCTTCGAAGAGTTGATTAGGTAGTATGCTGTTCACGGTAGCGTCGTCATCGGAGTGTCGGAAGGGATTGGTACCGTGATGTTGTCGTCGCCCGGTTCGTAGTAGACCTTGATGTTGGTGACCTCGGGGTATTCGTTGACGTCAATATAGAGGTACTATTGGTGCGGTGCCCCGAAGGAGTGGCGCAAGGGCGTCAAGTTGTACGTCTTGTAGTTTATCGCACTTGGGCGCTGTTCGATCGTGTGCGTGCCGCTGATGTACGTGTAATGTGTAGAAGGTCCGTAGTTTGTCCTTGTGGCGTTCGATATAATGTCATACGGCGTAATCGACGCCCGCAAGTCTAAAGCACTCCAACTCCGTATTGGTACCTTCCTAATGTTCCTTTTCCTCCTCAGCATCAGCATCAGCGTTACCATCATCTTCGTCGCCATCTTCATCATCAGCAGCAGCATCGCCATCGTCATCATCAGCAGCACCAGCAGCCTAATCATCCTCATCATCGCCATCGCCACTAGTACCGTCACCAGCATCACCAGACTCATGAGAATCAGCATGACTCATGCTGATTAGAAGCAGCATGACTCACTCAGAATCAGAATCAGTAGGAGAGAGAGAGAGAGGAGGATACTCATTCATGCTACATGAGTATCCTCCTCTCTCTCCTAATCCACCTCCTCGTCATCCTCCTCCTCCTCCTTGTCATCGTCAGCAGTATCATCATACCTGATCCTGGTCACACGGGTCCCTCTGCCTCACACTGGTTGTCTCGAAGACCTTTTGGCAAAACGGGTCCCCCTTGCGAGAACCCTTCTTGTCCATTCGGTTCCCGACATCTCGACATCCTCATCCCCATCTTCCTCATGTCTGTTGTTCCTCCTCCACACTCCCTCCTGCTCCTCCACACCGTCCTTGTTGTCCTCCTTATTCGCCTCCGCTCTCCTCGTCGGCCTCCTCCTCCGCCTCATCCTTTCAGTCTCGCCTACCCCTCTACCAGAATTTGGTCCCCCACCACACGACGCCCGTAGTAGTCACAAGGAGAAGTGGATGAAAAATGAGAATGCCGTTAGGTTCCAACACCAGGGCCCCGTTGGGCGGCCCGTTTGCCGTAATTGCGACGTGACGTTGTGCGTGCGAAGCCGCCTTGATAAATTGGACCCCCTGAACGTCGGTTTCACGAGAAGGCCCTGATACACCTAACCCCCCCGCCTCCCCAAAGGGTGCCACCAAATGCGCCAATGGACCTGATACGAAGGGATACATGGTACGCCGAGGGGGCAATGCTAAGGGATCCAGAACACGGTAGGACACAGTGGAGTCTCCCCAGACGCGACGCGTCCGTTCATTCGCGCTTGTGCGCGCAGCACCGCGCTCGGGCAGAGCCGCTTGATCTAGGAGCGAGTTGGTGGGAGCGTGCTTCGGCGGAGCGTCGTGCTCGAGAGTAGGGCCGTGCCGCCAGCAGGCTGTGTCGGATCAAGCCTGCGGTGAGGGCAGCTTTTTGCGCCCAAGGGGAGCGCCATTGCTGCCCGACGACGGGGAAGGGGGGGGGCAAAGAGTGCGGCCTAGATGGGGGGGGAAGAGAAACGATCGAGGCACACCGAAATATTTGATCAGGCCACGAGGTCGCAATCTAGCGTTGGGGTGGGGGGGAGGAAGAGAAGGAGGGCGTTCTGCAGCATAAGGAGGAGCAGGAGGAAGAGCCGCAGCAGGAGTGCGAGGAAGTGGAGCGGGAGGACGAGGAGGGAGGGATGAGTGGGAGGAGGAGGAAAAGGAGGAGGAGGAGGACCAGTATAAACCCAAGACGGACGCATCAACAAGGTTGCAATAAACCATCGTTCCAAGTTCTCCCTTACTAGGCCCCAACAAGAACGTGTGTTCATTGTGGGAGGCGGCACTTTATACCTATATATATATATATGTATATATATGTATGTATATGTATATATATATATATATGTGTTAAAAAGTTGGAGAACCCCCGATGGTGCCAAACACAATGCTGGGGACTTCAACGTCGCGAGCCAACGTGCTTGTTGCGCCCTGACAACCCTCAATCGTGCCAGAACATCGCCCCTGGGACGTCAGCACCGCGTTCAAACTGGCGGTTGCGCCTTGACACCCCCAAACCGTGCCAGAACACCATTCTTGGGACTTCAACCATACAAACCCTTGAAACTCTCGCACACGTGCGTGGAGCTAGGGCGAGAGCCACATCTTGGAAAAGGGTTGCCCTCCATCTTTCAAACTGCGGAAAACGTGTAAGGCGAATGTATGCGGCGTTGAGGCGCGAGCCGCATGTTGAAAAACAAGCGCCTCCACCTTTGAAACTACGGAATTCGGTGTACGACGAGTGTGCGCGGCGCTAAGGCGAGGGCCCAAGTTTGAAAAGGGCCAGTCTTCCACCAGTGAAGCTGTTGCAGATCCCAAGCTTCAAGATCACAAATGGTGAGGAAATTTCATGCGAAACACCTGGCCCGCCCTACCAGCACGTTTGGTGGTGCGACAGGGAGGGGTTCTTTATAAGGAAGAAGAGAGATGGAGAAGCAGGAGGACGAGGACCACGATCGAGCCTTGGGGTGAGATTGAGTGGGGTGGTTCCGTCCAGGCTATGCTTGACCAGGCTGTAAACTGGCAGCGGGCGCACGAGCGCTTGACCTGGAAAGCACAGTGAGAAAGGAGGATGGGGAAGCAAAGAGGGAGGACGGAGGAGGGAGAGGGGAGAAGGGCGGAGGGAGTGTCGGTGTTGGTCTTCGTTGTTCACAACACTTCTTTAACATAGGAGCTGTCAGGGGAGTAAGGCCAGGAATAGATGGAGGAGACGGAGGAGGAGGAGGAGGCGGCGGCGGCGGGAGGGAGAAGTGGGAGGATTGAAAAGGGCAGCAGGAGAAGGAAATGCAGCAGCAGCAGCAGCAGAAGAGATGGCGGGCAGGAGGAGATGATCCGCGGGCCCCCCGACTTGTCGACCCCTCTCCCTAGGGGCTTGCCTTTAATCCTGGACCGTGTCTTGACGACCCTCAGGCACGAAACCCGGCCCCCAGAAGCCGAACGTTGCGAGTCGCCAGAGGTCTGCGTCCCAGGGGCCCCGAGCTTCGTTGATTCATTCTTTCTTCCCCCCCCCGAAGCGGATGACTGACCAGCTTGGGGTTGGCCGAGCACGCGACGTCGCAGGCCCCAGGCCACGACCTCCCTCTCGTTCACACCTATTCTCTCTTCCTTCTCCTCCTCCTCCTCCTCCTCCTCCTCCTCCTCCTCCTCCTGATCATCAGCATCATCATCATCATCATCATCATCATCATCATCATCAACATCCTCATCCTCATCCTCATCCTCATCCTCATCCTCATCCTCATCCTCATCCTCATCCTCATCCTCCTCCTCCTCATCCTCATCCTCATCCTCATCCTCATCCTCCTCGTCTTCCTCCTCCTCTTCTTCCTCCTCCTCCTCCAGATAGCTCTCAGGCGAATCCAGCGACCTCTGGAGAGCTCTAGCCCTCGTCCTCCTCCTCTTCCTCCTCCTCCCTCCTCCATGTCCTCCTCCTCCTCCTCGTGTTGTTTCTCCTCCTCCTCCTCCTCCTCCTCCTCCTCCTCCTCTTCATCCTCCTCCTCCTCCTCTTCCTCCTCCTCCTCATCCTCCTCCCTTCAGCCTGCCCCGAAGGCACGGGTGTGAGGCACGTGGCGCTCACCGCGCAGCCGTCTTTGCGATCTGTGCCACGTGCGTGGCCGCAGGCTCTGCCACTCCTGCTCCTCCCTCCTCCTCCTCTTCCTCCTCCTCCTCCTCCTCCTCCTCCTCCTCCTCCTCCTCCTCCTGCTCTTTCTCCCTTCTCCTCCTCCGCAGGTGTCGCCACGCTGGGAGTTAGACGGCTCGCACCCGCCTTCAGACAGAGCCACGGCGGTGTTTCAACCGCGACCCCTAGCTTTGCAACTGCTAGCGATGACTGCGATGTTCGCTACACTTGGGACACTCGTGACTGGGTGGTCGATTATCTGCGACCGACCGCGGACCTCGGCGGCAAAGCCTCGCGGAAAGCACCGTTCGACATCCCGATGGCCAACAAGAAGGCGGCCCTCTTGGTGAATAATTCTTATCCTGGGCCGCTCGTGGAGGCGTACGAGGACCAGCTGGTCTGCGTCACGGTCGTCAACAACATGCTGTCGGAGTCCATCTCGATCCATTGGCACGGCGTCAAGATGCGCGGCTACCCGTCCATGGACGGCGTCTACGGGGTCACGCAGGCCTGGGCAGAGGGCGACCCCCCAGAGGTCTCCGGAGGTCCCCGAGGGTCTGCGGAGGCCCCCGAATGTCCCCACGGGCCTCCCAAGGCCCCTGGAGATTCGAGAAGAGCCAAAACGCAGGAGGACAAAAGCCATGGCATGACAAGAGAAACGAAACAACAGCAACAACAACAAAAAACAACAACAACAACAACAACAACAACAACAACAACAACAACAACAATTACTAGCACGTGGGGACACACCGTTCTCACCAGTGCCAGGGTTTTCATGGGACGCCGGCCAATACCCCCACTTTGTGGGGGGGCAGTTCAAGCTCTCCCAAATTTCCAAACGACTCTTCGCGACCACCCACACCCAGCTTCCCGCCCTATGACGTTCGGACACTTCACTTCGTGGCATGCGGACGACCTTGGCTACTACACTGGCGCATGGGTACAGTGACTTGTTGTGGTAACATTTTCTGGACGCTAGCTTAGTATACGACTTTTCCCACTTTACAAACACTCGACACCTGTACTGGTTTTTGGTGGTAACATGTTTCTGACGCTAGAATAGGAAATCACGGTATACCAGTACGACGCCGGTACTGTCTGTCGGGCCTACAATGATATTGACTGCTATGGTTGGTGAGGCGCTAGCGTCTGATACGACGTTTTTCCGCTTCTGTACCCCACTAGCGAATACACTTCTTTTGAGTGGTACCACGTGGGTGGCGCCAGCATACCACAGGACTTGTTTCCGTTGTTGTGAGACGATACAGACTCATTCTTGTCTTGTTTTTGTGGTTCCGGCCTCAATGTGCAATACTGGCTCATTCTTCTACGAAATACACGTGAGTAGCTCTCTCTCTCTCTCTCTGCCCACTGCGCAAGGGATCCACACCTAAAGAGGAACACGAAAGAATACGAAGCGATGCCGGATCCTGGCAGAGCGATCGGGTCTCTTTTCCGAACATCTGACGGCCCCTAGAGCCGGGTCAATGGCACGGGGGCCGGAGATGGGAGGTCATGTCACGCCCCCGCCGGAGGAGGAGGAGGAGGAGGAGGAGCAGGACAAGGAGGAAAGGAGAGAAGGGAGAAAGGAAGGAGGGGCGGGAACGGCGCTTGCACGCCCACCCACCGCCGGCCCCCCGCCGCGGCTCTGGAAACACACGTGAGTAGCAGTGCCGACGGTGCATACGTATGAAAGAAAACATACTAGAGAGACGCGTCCCTCTTCTCTTCATCTTCTGGCATACGCCTGTCTCTGATGGGGCGGATACCGCGCTGGCCCTCGTTGAAGGTGAGCGGGCGCAATGCTGCCAACTGGGCTCCTGGCAGCAATACATCAGGAGACAAGTGTCGAAGCATGGTGCCGATGCGCCTCCTCGTGACTTCATCCCCCGTGCGTGCGTGGCGCTCCATCACAGCCAGGACGCCCTGCACATGCGGCGGAATACGCAGATCCACCTGGTAATCCATAAGATTCCACGAGTCTGCCTGCCCCACAGAACGCCATACTGGCATGTGCCACCAATGGTCCTGTTTCGGGAAATAGGTGATACCATCCTTGACGTCGTCGGAGGCATTCCACAGAGCCATAGCTGGCGGCCCCATACCCATGGCTCCCGTGTGTGTTGCCACAAATACATCCAGGCTCGCCATGCGCCTGTATGACAGACCTGATACCACCTCGGAATGCACGGGAATACCCAGGAGCTGCAACAGTTTGCGCAAGCCAGCATACACCCAGCCGCCGTGCCCGACGAAGACGCGCCGTCTCCAGTTCGCTATACCAGCTTCGGTGCACAGCCGATGGAATACATCCGAAAGTGTGCCCAGGTACTCCGCGGCTGGATCTCTGAAACCAAGAAGGTTGCCGAATACCAAGCCAGGGTAGAAGTATACCGCGAACGCCAACCACTCTGGGGTCTGGATGCCTCCCATGCGGAGCTGGTTCGCGACCATACCGTTCTCCTTGGACTGACGCGTACTCTCCGGCGTCGAGAGGCAGAGGCATACACCCATGATTCCCTGCCACATACACGGAAAGTACACTGCAGTCGCGAACCACGTGGTCTCGTGCAGCACCTTGAGCCAGTTGCATACCAACCGCTCCCCGCCGGGTGCGATCTCCCAGAGCCTCATACCCTCGGCCACCTCCTCGTGGGATGGGGTATACTCCCCAGTCTGTTCGTCCCAATGCCCTGCCATTGACAGCAATACGGTAGCGCGTGTGTATATGCAAGGAGGTACGGAATGAGCGAAATACGACTTGAGCCCAAATGGCTACGGCATACATACGAATGATGCTGTGGGAAAGTGCCAAAGTCCATACGAACAGAACAATCATGCATGCGTTCTATACTGCCCTCTCCCAGAAACGCACCCAACCAGTGATCTTGTGGGACACATTTGGGAAAATGCACAAATAAATTTGTCACACTGTTGGGACGTGGGAGCATGCACGCACAAACCAGGTGGTCACATTTGTGGGACAATTTGTTCTGCCACTCCCGCAACCTTCATATATCCACTCCCGAGATGCAGAAAAGAAATAGCCTGGTCTAAATGCATGCAGCCCCTGCCTCCCCAGTGCGCACGCACGACTCTGGAAAATTAGGCTCATATACCGTGCCATCAGCCAGCTACACTGCCGAAATCGTTGACGGCGGAGGCCTGTGCGCCCACCGACTCCACGTCAATACCGTTGTGGCCCAACGTATGACGGAGCTTCACAGCAGCCTGGAACTCTTGAAGTGATACCTCCTGCTGCGTTGGACCAGCTCCGTGAAAACTGTTCCCGTGATACCTGAAACAGGTGGCGGCCCTATGGTGACACTGAGCCACAAATGCCAAACCCCCACAGCTTTGCCAATGGGCCATCATACGCACTCGCGAAAGTTTACTCTTGTCGAGCCACTCATACACTTTCTTCGCATGCTGGTCCAACTCCGGCTCAGTCTTCGTGTCCGGCAGCACTGCTGCGCCCATACCGCTCGCACGCAGGGCGGCAGCACCCTTTTTCTCATACTGCTTCTTGGGTGCCAGGCAATACTGCAAGGACGGCAGTATCAGCTCAATCTCTTTGTAGAACTCCTCATACATGTTCGGATTCAAAACCGCCTTGTTCGCCGCCTGTACCGAGGGATCCTTTTGATACTCGCAGAAGGTCTTCATCGCGTGAATGAAACGGTTAATACCGACACCCCTCCGCTCCGGCTCTTTGCTGCACATCTCCGACATCCACACGGCCCCACTCTTCAGCGGCTCCTGCATCTCGGCCCATACCTGCTTGTCCGATAACTTCGCGAACTTGGAAGGCCCGTATACGTTGAGCAACTGCGACGGCAACGTCTCGAATACCTTCAGCCACTCCCGCTTCTTCTGGTCCTTCGGCTTCTCCGCGGAGGCCGGGGCGCCCGAGAGCGCCGCTGGCGCAGCCAAGATCGCGAAGTCAGGGGCCATACCACTGTCGAGCATTGCGACCGATTGATACGAAACCGCAGGGAATATACTTCCGAGTGGGAAGACTGGTACTGCCGTGCCAACTTTGGGAGTATATGGCTGCAGTTATCAACCGGATACCTGAATGTACCGTTTAAACAAACGTATAGTACGCTTTTTTTGTTGTTGTAAAAAACCAACATGCTGGAATACGTAGCCCTACTGGAAAAAACACACATACATTTGTCGCACTTCTTGGGAGCGTACATGTGCACAACAAAGTTGGTCACATTTTTGGGGCGAATCTTGGTCACAGTTTTAAGACAAAGTCTGGAAAATACACACCTGCATTTGTCACACTAAAACGTGGGAGCCTACGCGTGGAAGGTGGTCGCATTTTTGTCAAATTTCAGACACATGCGTTTGTTATATATGATACAGATTGCACATGATACATATGATAGACATGAGACAAAGTCGCACAACAGTTGGTCACATTTTTGGGGCAATTTTGAGACACATACATTTGTTTAACATGATGCACATTGCAAATGATACGCATGATACACATGAGACACAGTCGCAAAACAGTTGGTCACATTTTGGGGGCAAATTTGAGCAACGTGCATTTGTTATATATGATACATATGGTACTTGATACATATGATAGACATGAGACAAAGTCGCAAAACAGTTGGTCACATTTTTGGGCCAGTTTTGAGACACATACATTTGGTATATATGATACATACCAGCCTTGCTCTTTGTCGGAGATACACGCGCGCGCAGTCCTCGGCAGCACCTGGCCCAGGGAGGTGGTCACATTTGTGGGTCAAATTTCAGACACATGCATTTGTTATATATGATACATATTGCACATGATACATATGATAGACATGAGACAAAGTCGCACAACAGTTGGTCACATTTTTGGGGCAATTTTGAGACACATACATTTGTTATACATGATACACATTGCACATGATACGCATGATACACATGAGACACAGTCGCAAAACAGTCGGTCACATTTTTGGGGCTAATTTGAGCAACATGCATCTGTTATATATGATACATATGGTACTTGATACATATTTGATACATATGATAGACACGAGACAAAGTCGCAAAACAGTTGGTCACATTTTTTGGGCCAGTTTTGAGACACAAACATTTGGTATATATGATACATACCAGCCTTGCTCTTTGTCGGAGATACACGCGTAGGGAGCCTACGTGTGCACAACAAAGGCGGTCACATTTTTGGAACAGATCTCTGAAAATACACTTTTGTATCTATGCATGTATGTATGTCTGTATGTATGTATGTATGTGTGTATCTATGTAAAATGTATGTATGTACGCACATACGACGGTATGTAAATATCAGTGCATGTCTCGACGTACGTATGTATATGTGTATGTGACTGTGTATGTATACGTCTATGTGTAGAGGCATGGCTATGCGCGTCGAACTAGTATGTTTACATGTGTATATATGTATATGTGTATGTCATTGCTGGTGTATGCTCTTCTTTCACATTGTTCTGCTTGACCCCTGTGTCAGACAAC